GGGCCCGTGCATGGACTTACTTGCTCACAGACTTATTCTGAGCTCCAGCACTGGAGCAGTAGCTCGAACGGTGTCAGGGACATTCAGGGTGGAACAGAATTGTCTGGCTGCAGGGAGAGGGCTGGAGGGGCAGCTTTCTCTCAGAAATGCAAGCCAAAGTCATTGTTTCTTCGTTGAGCCCTCCCTTGACCCAGCATGCAGACACAGGTGCTGCCATATCTGAGTCTCCGTCAGCCTGGCTAACATGTTCACCCTGCCCGGGTGATTCCCTGAGACCCAGTGCCAAGTTTCAGACCACAACAGAGCATCACTCAACCACCTCCACAAAAGACATGCCTAAAGGGCAAACTTGGCAGGCACCAGAGCCCCACAAAAGCAAATACTGCTCTGTAGGGTCAGCCCCTGCCTCAGAGCTCCTCCACTGTAATCCTGGCCAGTGCTCACAACCAATCAGCTTGATGGTCTCCTTCCCATCCAAGGAGATCATCAAAGAAACAGCATCCAAGGCTTCACTACAACAGGAGGGCACACAATTAACACACCTGGAGCACCCAGGGAGACTGTCACTGGGCCTCATGGGACACCTACTACAAAAGGCCACTCTACTAAGACAGGGAGACATAGCAGCTCTACCTGGTACATAGAAACAGAGAGGCAGCCAAAATGGGGAGAAGAAGAAATATGTCCCAAATGAAACAACAGAACAAAGCTCTAGGAGAAGAACTAAACAAATGGAGAAAAGCAGTCTACCAGATGCAGAGTTCAAAACACTGGTTATAAGGATGCTCAGTGATCTTAGAACTTAAACAGAAAGATAGGAAACAAAAGTGCAAATAGAGAACATAAAAAAGAACCAGTTAGAAATGAAAAACACAGTAACAAAAATGAATACCTTAGAGGAACTCAAAAGTTGATTAGATGAAGCAGAGGATCGAATCAGGAATTTGCAATGTAAGGTAGCAGAAAATACCCAATCGGAACAGCAAAAAGAAAAAAGAATCCAAAAAAAATGAAGAGAGTTTTGGGGCCTCTGGGACAATATCAAGTGTATCCAACATTTTCATCATGGGGATTGAAAACTTATTTGTAGAAATGCTGATGGAAAACTTCCCTAATCTGGTGAAGGAAGTAGACATGCAAGCCCAGGATGTGCAGAATCTCAAACAACATGAACCCAAAGAGGTCCACACCAAAATACATCTTAATTAAAATGCCAAAGTTTGTTAAAGACAAAGAATATTTAAAGCACAAGAGAAAAATCCTTAGTTACCTACAAGGGAGCTCCAATAAGACTGTCAGCTGCTTCCTCAACAGAAACTCTGCAGGCTAGATTGGATTGACACAGAATATTGAAAGTGATGAAAAACATGGACCTACAGCCAAGATTACTCAACCCAGCAAAGCTATCATTTAGAATTGAAGGAGAGATAAAGAGCTTCCCAGACAAGAAAAAGCTAAAGGAGTTCATCACTACCAAACCAGTAGTACCAGAAATATTAAAGGCACTTCTTTAAGAAGAAAAAAATATAAAAAATATGAAATAAAATGGGAATAACTACATATCTATCAACAATGTCAATATAAATGGATTGGATTAAATGCGCCAATCAAAAACATAGGGTGGCTGAATGGATAATAAAATAAGACCCTTACATATGCTGCCTACAGGAGGTCCACGTCCAATGAAAAGACACACACAGACTGAAGAGTAAAGAGATGGAAAAAGAAATTTTATAAAAATGGAAACAAACCAACAAAATGCTGGGGTAGCAATACTTATACCAGACAAAATAGACTTTAAAACAAAGGCTATACCAAGAGACAAAGAAGGACCCAGTAATCCCACATCTGGGTATTTATTTGAGGAAACCCAAAACACTACTTTGAAGAAACATGTGCATCCATGTTTATTGCAGCATTGTTCACAATAGCCAAGATATCAAGCAACCTGGGTGTCCATCAGTAGATGAATGGATAAAGAAGAGGTAGTACATATATACAATGGAAGATTAGTCATAAAAAAGAATGATATCTTGCCATCTGCAACAATGTAGGTAGACTCAGTGTATTTTGCTGAGTGGAGTAATTCTGATAGAGAAAGACAAATACCATATGATTTTACCTATATGTGGAATCTAAAGAACAAAATAAACAAAACCAGAACTTGTAGATACAGAGAACATTTTGATGGTTGCCAGATGGGAGAGGGGTTGCGGGTGGACGAAAAAGGGGAAGGAATTAAGAAGTACAAGTTGGAGGGGCCGGCCGAGTGGCGCGTTGGTTAAGAACTGGCTTGGGATGCCAGAGGGCCCCGGTTCGGATCCCACATATGAGGGCCGGTGACGCTGCCCTCTATAGCTAAGATGCTGAACAGCAGCTCAATCTGGAGCTGGGCTGCCGTGAGTCGCCGGCGAAGGCGTAGGCTGCAGCCCCTGTGGCAGTGGGTTGCCATGGGTTACCGTGTGTAGCCAAGCAGCCAGCATGAGCGGCCAGCAGCTGCTGTGAGCGGCCGTCCAGAAGCCAGCGCCTCGCCCAGGAAGAGCACAATGATGGTGCCAGCTTGGGCCAGTGAAGCAACGTCCTCCACAACTAGACTGAAGAACAACAACAAAAAAGGACAGCAACTTGTCTGTTCCCTTTGCCCCAATTCCCCAATTAAAAAAATTAAAAGTACAAATTGGAAGTTACAAAATAGTCATGGGGATGTAGAGTATAGCATAAGGAATACAGTAAATAATATTGTAATAGCTATGTATGGTGTCAGATGAGTACTAGGTTTATCGGGTGATCATTTCATAGGTTATATAAATGTCTAATCACTATGTTGTACACCTGAAACTAATATAATACTGTATGTCAACTGTAATTGAAAAAATATTTAAATAAAAGCAAAAAAGAAAGTAATAATACAATTCTGCATACAACATCAAAAAGAATAAAGTACTTAAAATAAATGTAGTAACAGATGTGTAAGACTTGTACACTGAAAACAAACTATTGATGAGAGGAATTAAAGAAGATTTAAATAAATGGAAAATATATCCCATGTTCATAGATTTGAAAAGTAAATATTGTTAAATGACAGTACTCCCCAAATTGGTCTATAGGTTCAGCACAATTCTTATCAATTACCCAGTAGACTTTTTTGAAGTAATTGCTAAGCTAGTCTTCAAATACATATGGAAATGCAAAGGACTCAAAATAGCCCAAACATTCTTGAGGGAAAAAAACAAATTTGCAGGACTCACACTTCCCTATTTCCAGACTTATTACAAAGCTACAGTAGTCATATAGTACTGGCATAAGTACTGACATGTGAACCAATAGGCTAGAATTGATAGTCCAGAAATAAACCCAAACATCCATGACCAGTTGATTTTCGACAATGTGCCAAAACAATCCATTGGGAAAAAGATTTGTCTTTTCAATAAATAGTACTGAGATAACTAAATATAAGTATACAAAAGAATGAATTTGAACCCCTATATCACGTTATATATAAAAATAAATAAAAATGGATCAAAGACCTACATGTAAGAATATATTTTAAATATTTATAGAGTATTCTATAAAACTTATAGAATTAAATATAGGTATAAGTATTCACAACCTTACATTAAACAAGTTTATTAGATATGAGACCTAAAGCACAGTCAACTAAAGAAAAATAGATAAATTGAACTTCAAAAAAATTAAAAACTTTTATGTCAAGGAATATTATTAGGAAGGTGACAAGACATTCGACAGAATAAGAAAATATTTATAAACCATTTATATGGTGGGAGATTTTTATCCTAATTATATAAACAACACTTATAATGCAACAACAAAAAGAGAAATGATCCAGTTTTAAAGTGGGCTAAGAATTTGAATAGACATTTCTCCAAAGAAGATATACAGATGTCCAATAAGTACATGAAATAATGCTCAAGATCATTAGTTATCAAGAAAATGCAAATCAAAACCATAATAAGATACCACTTCACACTCAGTAAAATAACTAAAATGGAACACAATGATAAGTATTGGTGAAGCTGTGGAGAAATTAGAATCTTCATACACTTTTGGTGGGAATAAAATGGTGAAGCCACTTCAGAAAGTAGTTTGGCAATTCCTCAGAAAGTTGAACATGGAGTTGCCATATGCCTGGTCTATTTCACTCCTAGGTATATACTCAAGAGAACTGAAAATATATATTCACACCAAAACTTGTACACCAGTGTTCACTGCGGTGTTATTTATAATAGCCAGAAATTAGAGATAATCCAAAATGTTCCTCAACTGATTAATGGATACATAAAATGTGACATACCCATCCAATGCAATATTAGTTGGCCATAAAAGGAATGAAGTACGAGATACAATATGGATGAACTTTGAAAACATTATGCCAAGTGAAAGAAACCAGACACAAAGGCTACATGTTATATGATTTCATTTATATGAAATAGCTGGATTAGGCGAGTCTGTAGAGAGTTGTTTCCAGGGGCCGGGAGAGGATGGGGAATGACTGCTAATAGGTATGGGGTGATGAAACTGTTCTGAAATTAGATAGCAGTCATTAAAAGCTCTCCTTTGAAGTTAGGGAGACCTTATTACTATCTTTGTGACCTTACACAATAATAATAAAAAACATAACATTTTACAGTGCTAATTATGTGCTAACCTTGTGCTAATCCCACTACAATCTAATGAAGTTAAGTATATTATATCTCCAGAGGAGGAATCTAATGCATAGAGAGTTTAACATATTACTTGCTAGTTCAGCCTTATTTCTTCACCACTGAAATCAGAATAATTATAAAGTGTAAGAGGACTGAATGAGTTGATATGTAATGCCATTAGTCCATTGTTGGTACGTGGTACACACTCAGAAATTGGAACTTCTTGTTATTTTAAGTGGATGTCATGTGATCTATGTCATCATGTAAAAGTCGTGCCAGCTTCCAATATACTAGTGTTAATAATAATATAACATTTTTGTTTGTTTTTTATCACAGGGCCCCCTGAAGCAGCTCTCCCTCCACCTGCGGGCTACCCAGGAGGCAGTCCATTGGGATACTACAATCCACAGCAACCCAGTACCTTCCCCTTGAGCCAGCCAACTGGTGGTACCCATCCTATCCGGTACCAGCCTGGCAGGTATCCAGTGCCAAATCACTCTGCTCCAATAACATGGATGCCAGGGCCCACTCTTCTGCCAGGCTGCCCTCCTGGTCTGGAATACTTAACCCAGGTACTCTACACAAATCCAATTCATGTTTTCTAATGAAGTGTGACTGACGATCCAACAAGAGACAAAAGGCTGGATTGAGTGGGTCAAGTGATGGGTCAGTGATGACAGATGTCTCGTTTGGGAGACTATAGGAATGATGGTGCTCATTTCAGACATGTGAAGGGAGATCCAAGAGTATAGGCATATCTGGGTGGGATGAGTATAGTTTTTGTAAGGGATATATGTTGAATTTTAAGATTTATGATGCCTATTGAACAAAGTTTAAATAGGAATATAAGTATAAGAAAAACTATCAAGATGCTAATCAGGGTGTCATTTTCTCAGAAGTAGAGTTAACATCCAGAAAAGCAACACAAAAAAAGAGCAAAGTTCCAGAGAACCCCTTTCCACAGCACAGTGACTCCCTAATTTCCATCTATACAGATATGCTGGAGCTGCCAGGATATACAGGTCAGAAACTGGGGCACCCTGCCAAGTTGGTGTACCAAATGGTATTGTTTAAAAACCCATGTCAGAAACTCAAAAAGATTGATTAATGAAACTAAGGTAAATTGTATTGGGAATCCCTTAGAAACTACTGAATCATGTTTCGCTTTTAGAAAAAGAAAGCCTAGAAATACATTACAATAAGGGACTTGCCAATTCAATTTGTGTCTTCCCATATCGACAGCCAAATGTTCCTTCGAGTTGACGTGATTCTCTTTTCAATTATCTATGCTAACAGAGACCCTGTTAATCCTGTGCATTGAAAACCATCGGTACAATGTTACAGTGTTGATATTTGAATGTTGGATATTTGATACAGTAGGATCAGGAAAATTTGGATTTTATATATGCCAAAAATTTTATTAAATTGTTGTTTGGCAAACTATTGACAAAAAGTAAAGCCAGTCATTCAGGTAAAGTGCTAGAGTAAACCCCTATCTTATTTTAGAAACTTATAAAATGTTTATAAGTTAATCAAGTTTACAAAGTCTTTTTTAAGCTTGATGAGAAGTAACAAATTTTCCTTGAAAATCCAAGTCCTGGAGCCATTTCTCTTTTAAAAATGTATAGCTTTAACATTGTTCATTGAAATATTAAAGTAGCAGTTTTTTAGTTTCTTCTATTACTCTGACAGAAGTTACATTAACGTATTTCATGAATTCTGTTTTCCCTTTCAGGAATGTTTTGAGTTAAAAAAAAAAAATGAAAAAGAAAGAAAACAGGTTTGGAACCAGACAAGCCTGGTTTTTAATTCTAGCTCTACTCCCTCCTCACTCTATAACCTTGAATGAGGTTTGTAACGTGCCTGATGTTTTTGGTACACAGGGCTCACCCAATGGATGGTACCTAGCTGTGTGGATGTTATTAGTTCAGACACTTTGTATGTGAGTGGGAGACATAGAGCTAGTCATGTTTTTATCATTTTCTTTATCCTGGTCCTCTTGCAATCTCATGTGCAATTTGCATGAATCTGTTTCATGCAATTTGCAAGACACTGAAGTTTCAGGATTTTATTATTTCTGGAGTATTGGCTTGGTCAATAATGCCCCAGTTTGTTGGAGAGCTGCCCCTTAACAGCCATAGTATCTTACTGGCTAAACTTCCTCCACATTAACTGGCATTTCTTTAGAATATTTTGCTGTAGTGGTAAAAGTGGATGCTTTTACCAAGGAGTAAATATTTTTACAACTCAGTTCTAGATTTTAACATACTAGATTTGTTTTAGTACCTACTTTTGGTATCTTTTAAGATATGTTTAGACCCCCTCGCCTGATTGTGTTTTCATATAAGAAAAAGGTTTTAATTAAGGAAGGATTATATGCTCTCTATACCTTCCTGTAATCAATCATATCACAAAATGTTCATGTATCGTTATTTTAAATTTTATTTATTACTACGTTTGTATTTTTTTATTAATGTATTCAACAAATATTTGGTGAAATATGGCATTTTGGGCAGTGTTTTGGGCTCAGGAATTAGGAATGATCTAATGATCTATAGTGTCTAAAATTATATAGATACGATCAGTCTGTCCTCAGGGAGTTTTTTCTCTTCTGCTAGAACCTTCTCAAGTATAACAGATAATGGGCCCATTAAACTGTCTCTCCGTAGAGTGATTCCTAAGTCAAGTTAAGGTAGAGTTTATTTAATGATATTCCCAACCTCCCTTTCCCAGGGATGCCACCCCAGAAAGTTTCCTGTTCTTCCCCCTAATCCTGTTCACATGCTCCCTGCCCTCTCGGACCCTCCCATTACTGAAGTGTGCCCCTAGGGAAGGTCTTGGCCGTTAGTGCCTCAAGTGGATGGAAATCAGTACCGCAATCTCTTAGAAGTTTACAGTAATGTAAACGCGGACATTCCTGTGTGGAGTGCGCCCTGGCTAATGCACTCCCCTGAGCCACTGAGAAATGTGCTTTCTTGGGGCCAGGGCCAGTGTTAATCTGTCCTGAACTTTGAGACACTCCAGTCTGTGGGAGACATGTCCAAGAAACCAGTGAGTGGGGACTGAGCTAGGAAGAATCTGTGTCAACCCAGCTACTCCTAGGTGCTGTTACTGTGGCAGGAAGGTGATTTTCTGATATTTTAGACAAATGTTTCAACCTTTTACAATGGAACTACAGAAGTATGTTGTTGGAGAGTGGGCCCTTCTCTGCGCAAAGTCCAGGTCCTTGGCAACTCGAGCAAAGAACTGAACGAGATGCCGGAGTAAAGTACTGAAAAAGTAGTTTATTCAAAGAGATAGTACATTTCAAAGAGTAGAAGTAGGCCCAAGCAGTAGAGAATGGCTCAAGGGCCCATTATTAGAAGAGAAATTACATTCCAAAGAGTTTGACACAGGCCACGTGCAAAGGTAAGGCTCAAAAGGCTCAAAAAGAAAAAAGGTGTCAAAAGAGCAGTGTGTCCAAAAAAAAGGGCGGACTTCCCAGGACTTGGAGTTTTTATCCCCTTTCTCTAGAATGGGCTGTTCCCCCTTGGGCGGGGGACCACCTGATTGGCACCTGTGATTGACAAGAGGTACTGCACAGGTGTGAATGACTGGTCTGATATAGTTGGGTATTTTGCACCCATTTGTTTCAGGGGTAGATAGTTACAATGAAAAGAAGTTTTGGGTTGAGAGGGGAGGTCACCGGGCGGTCACATCCTGTGGGACGTGCAGGAATGCAGAGACCCAATGCCTGCCTCTAACTGCCTGCCTGGTTTTCCCCTTGAGAGACGTGATCCCCATAAAATCTCTATGGGAAGCTGAGGGACAGGAAGTCTCTTCTTCTGTATCTGCTTCCTGCTGGGCAGGGGCGGAGAGCTGTCCCTGCCTATTGGGGGGATTCACGGAACTCTCGCCCTAGCTGATCTCAGATGAGAGGAAGGGGTCTCGAGCTCCGCCTGGGAGACCGCGTTGGCTTCTTTGGTTGTGACTGGCAATCTTGTTGGGGTATCCTCTGTATCCCCAAGGTCCCTGAATGAGGAAAAATAGATTTTAATTAATAAATCTGTTAGCTCTCATGAAGCCTGTGGCCATTCAGCCTGTCATTCAGGTGGCATCAGTTGTCTGGGTCCAGAATGGGTTTGGCATTTAGCGTACTGGCCTGGGGGGATATTAGGAAGTCACAGGCTTTTAAGTAGTTATCTGAAGCAGGGGTGGAAGACTTCTATTGTTTAGGATTCAGAAACTGATTTACAAAGCAATCAAGAAGCAGGGGGATAGGAGAATTCCAGGATTCAGGCTAGGAGCAATCTTTAGTCTAGGATTCACAGGCTGATGAGAAGAGTCATCAAAGCCAGGTGCTAAGAAACTAAGAAACTAGGGAGGAGATTTAACATTTCTGTACCTAACATTTCTATAGGAAAGAAAACTTAAAAGTCTTTGGCTTTCTATACCTAACATTTCTATAGGAAAGAAAACTTAAAAGTCTTTGGCAGCTCTCCTAATGACCATCTGGTCAGGTGCAGATAGGCTATTTCCACTTGATAAAAAAAATCAGTTTCAAAAAGGTATTTTGGTGTCAATGGATACGTTTTAATAAGGATCTCATCAGTTTTCTAATGCTGGTTTTATTTAATTCTGTTATTTCTCTCTCCTAATTGCTTTGTTCTGTCCCAACAGCTGGACAACATACATGTTCTTCAGCATTTTGAACCTCTGGAAAGTATGTATAATTCAGTAATGTTCAGCAGCATTTTAATCAGGTGGAAATTTGCATTATCCAGTATCTAGTTCCTTATTGATATTGATCACTTGTTAGTGGTTCAAAGAGAAAAGGATATCCTCTTTTCAATAAAGTAAGAAAGGGAATTATTTTGTATAATTTTATCTATTTGTACATCATATGTAAACGCTTAGACTTGAAAAGGATTTGCATTTTATCTGTTCAACTGTCCTACCCTTTACCCATCCCAGCTCCTCCATATTAAATTCTCATGGATGACAACAGGAAGGAGCCGAGGGTCCACATTAGTTAGCCAGGGTCAGCTAATCTGGCGGAGATGGAAATACAATCTAACCTGCTGAGTTCCAGTCCAGTTCCCTTATTTTGGAGCAAGAAGAAATCACAGGAAACAATGCCTATTTGTTCCCAGTTCATCCTTGCAAGATTATGGACCCTCATTGTAAATGGTTTGATCATTAATGTTTTCTGATTCAGGTACTCTAGGAATATAGTTTCAATCTTTGCTGTTATGTGGAAAAGTTTAAAAATCATTTTATACTGAACTTTTTAAAAGAAATGTTTTAAATTTTCAAATTTACTTATAGGCCATATGAATTATATTGGTGTTCTAATCAACTATATTATATATATATGTATGTATGTATATATATATACACACACACATACATATATATAGTATAGTTCTAATACTATACTATATAGTTCTAATCAACTATATTATACATATATACACACACACACACACACAAATTTTTTTTTTTTACCTGAAATGTTTAAAAAGCTATTTTGCTTTAAGTGCCTGAAAGGACTTCATTTTTATTATTTTTATTAAACTATAGTTGACATACAATATTATATTAGTTTCTAGAGTACAACACAGTGATTTGACATTTATATTCCTTGCCATGTGATCAGCAGAATAAGTCTAGTCCCCATCTGTCACCACACATAGTTATTACAATAATGCTATTTTCCTTAGGCTGTACATTACATCCCCATGACTTGTTTTTAATAACTGGAGGTTTATACCTCTTATTCCTCTGGAGGCCCATTTTAACTACTTCTAATTTAAGATGGCTTTCTCATATTGTTTTTTAGTGATGACACGTTTTGAAACTAATAATAAATATGATATTAAAAACAACGTGGACCAGATGGTTTACATTGTAACTGAAGACACAGACGACTATACCAGGAACGCTTATCGGACGCTGAGGCCCTTCGTCCTCCGAGTCACTGACTACTTGGGCCGCGAAATCATGACAATGCAGAGGCCATTTAGATGCACCTGCTGTTGCTTCTGCTGTCCCTCCACCAGGCAAGAGGTCAGAGAATGGAAGTTTCCATTGTTTCTTCCCGATCCAAGTCTTCCCAGCATGGTTGTGCTCCTTTGCAAACTGCACGAGAGGGTTTTTTCATCTGCTCTGCCAGTCAGAATGGAAGAAGATAGCGGGGAGGGAGGAAGCCAGATTGTCTCACCTAAAGACAATCACAAAGGGCTTTCTTCTTGTGGGTGCTGGCTCTTCGGTGCTAATTGGTGGTTCAAGCACAAATTATTTATTTAGTAACCATAATTCTATCAGTTGTGTACTGAATTAGGAATTTACCTATCACCTAGAACAGTAGTCACACACATTTATCTAAGTGTCCCAGAGAAAGTAAGTAAAATGTAAACATACACTTATTGAATTGTAAGGGACTTTGATCGTTTTTCTCTACCCATCACAATCTATGCCTTGCTGCAGATAAAGAAAAAAGACTCAGTGCCTTTTTCTGATGCTGTTAAACTCAATAGGTGACGGTGCCAGAACTAGAAGGCAGATGTTCTGAGTAAAAGCTTGGTTACTCTCCTACAACCTGTGCAGCTCCAGGAAAGTTGTTTGCTACAGGGAAGGAAAAGTGGTTTAGAGAGAGGTCCAAGAGAATCTAAATTTTAGATATGTCACCTACTTACATTTGTACAATTTAGTTAACCTCTTTGAGCCTCAGTGTTGTACAGAAACTGGGCGGAAGAGTACTCTCTCTGGGATACCCTTACTTAACATTTAAATGATATGTTAAGTACCAGCATTTACAATAGTAATTTATTTACAGCCCTTACTGTGCCTTGATTTATTCACCTGTAAAATAGCGATAGTAATAGTACCTATCATATGAGATTACTCTTGAGAATTCAGTAGTAAATGAATGTCAACTGCTTAGCACAGTGCCTGGCAAATAGTACAGTGTTCAATGGATATTAGCTATTATCAGATATCTTACCTCTTTGTCATACACACACACACACACACACACCCTTATATTTGAGGTGAATTTCCACCTCTTTTCCTTGATACTTTTGTATCGTGAGCATTTTTTTCATATTTATGAGTCGGGCTTTGCATATCGAAGCCTCTAAGTGAAGCCTTCCAAGATTACAGGAAGCCAGGATAGAGTAAAGCAAATCAATATTACCCCCTTAGTCCAATGTATGGAACTTTTGTATACGTTATCTAGATTTTTTTTTTGGCTCTCCAGTTTTACTTGTATTCATGTGGGTGTGTTTAGTTTTATCAGCTATGTAGATTTCTGTATTCACCACCACAATTCAAATACCAAATAGTTGTAACACCACACAAAAAAAACAAACAAACAAAATTAAAAAAAAAAACTGTTTTATAACCATCCCTGTCTCCTTCCCGTTTCTTCATCTCTAACCCCTGTCAACCCCTAATTTGTTCTCCTATCTATATTTTTGTCATTTCAAGAATGTTATATAAATAGAATCATATAGTTTGGAGCCTTTTAGGATTGGTTATTTTCACATGTCATTACCTAGAAATTCATACAAGTTGGACATGTATTAATAGTTCATTCATTTTTATGGTTGAATGGTACAAGTTCTTTTAAAAGTAATTTATTTGTATACAGTTTTGATTTTTTATCTCAAGACTAAATTTATGTGAGATCTCAGTCCTAGGAAGCTATCAAATTTATATGTTTATATATATGTGTGATGGTATGTAAATGAATAGTATCTTGGTTTGACAATTCATGAGCTGTGTAGTACTGCCCCATGATGAGACCCAAGAGAATAAAAATTCATAGGAAAGTATATATGACACAAGAATTGTCAGTAAAACTTGTACTTAGGTCTTTTACTAAATAAATCAATTTTGTGACTTTTGTTAGTATAGATATGAAGATCTTAGTTCTTCACAAAGGGATATTATAAGGAAAATTAGCTAAAAAAGAATAGTGGGCAATATTTTAAAACTCTTTAAAATGGCTCTATATACCCATAACACATTCTGTTGTTTTCCCAATATACAGTTTTCTGAATGTATCTTTTCTCTTGTTTTCTATCATAATTGTCATGTCTTAGATTTCATTCTAAGAGGTTAGCTTGTTACTTTGTGGATTGTTCCAGAAGACGTGAGACACCTAGATCAATGACAGAGATCTTTATCACAGCCCAGAAAGCAGCATGCACATTAGTATGTGTGTAGTTCCCAAGTTCTATGGGTTGACTCAGGAGCCCTGGCAGATACCCCATAAGCAATTGAGAAACACTGAGCTTGGAGAACTGGCTATTATATAAGTAGTAACTCTGTCCCAAAGGAAAGCATGACCTCATCTCTCCAGACTGTTCACTGAAATACAAGCTTAAGAAATAGACCAGGTAAAATGAAAGACTCTTCCCCAGTAACAATTGCCCAAGTCCTTAAATGGATTAAGGACACATCTAGGTGGGGGCGGGGGGCTGGTTTTGTGTGTGTGTGTGTGTGTGTGTGTGTGTGTGTGTGTGTGTGTGTGTGTGTGTGTTCGCGCGCGCAGACACAGCATCCTCCCCTCTATCTCTGCTTCTTTTGCAGCTGGAGGTGCAGTGTCCTCCCGGGGTCACCATTGGCTTTGTCTTGGAGCACTGGAACCTGTGCAGGGCGGTTTACAGCATCCAAAATGAGAAGAAAGAAAACGTGATGCGTGTGCGTGGGCCTTGTTCAACCTATGGCTGTGGTTCCGATTCTGTTTTTGAGGTAAACAAATGTAAAAATCATGTTTCTACTATTTTTTTTTCCTATGTGTATTAACAGACCTCAGAATGATTTGGTTTCAGATGATTTTTTTCATGAAGAGTCAACTGGTTGACATCAAATGATTTCAAATTATGGTTAGTGAATTGCTTAATGTTTTCTAAAATGTGAGCTCTGTTTTTATGATTTCAGGGTTTGATAAAGATAAGAGAATCCATTAAGACATTAAACCTGAGAGTGAACAGCCTGACATAATCTGGTAAATGGCCTGACATAATGGATTTATTTTATTCTTGGTTGTATTTAATTAAACATTTTTTATCAAAGGTTTCCAGGATCAGAAGGTAGGTCCTGAGTAGTGAATGTGCTCAGCATACACAGGACATACAGGCTGTGCAAACTGCTTGATTGCAGGATAGAAGTCTTTCTGTGTCCTGAAGAAACAGGACAACACTGATAATATGCCGAAAACTCATTAATAGGTTATAACATTTTATCAGGAAAAAGAGAAAATCCTTTTGTTTTGCCTTTATCTCTGGATATAAAATGATTGCTTATAATCCTATGACTCTAGCAAAGGAGATTCCTCACCATTTTCCCTGAGCTTCTGAATCCTTCCTAAATGCCTTGCAGTTTGGCAAGGTTCATCATCTAAAGTTGCTCATTCAAGTAATTCCTATGACACCCAGTACACTTGACTGATGTCACCATGTCACCCAGCACTGCTTCTTTTTTAAAAGACCATGCAGAGCAGTAGAAAATGTAGATAAGCCAAGTTCCAGGGGCAGGATGTGTGGGGTCACGCTGATCACCCCAAGTTAGTATCAGTGTTTTCCCTCTGGCAAGTGCCAGGGTTCTCCTTTTAGAAACTGAAGTCCTTCAGGACCCTGGCACGATTTAAGAAGACGCGTTTAAGTGATTATGTAGAGCCTGTGAAGTACACAGAACCGTGCCTCGTTGCTTTTGTTCCTGGATTTCCCTAGACTGGACAAGATGCCCTCCCAATCCCCAATCCCCACCCTTTGCTATCTGGAGCAAAACTTCAGAATCAGTTCAAATCAGACCTCTCTAGTAACTCGTTTTCAGATGAGGAAAGAGCAGTGTGAGAAGTGTGAGATGGGCCCCAGCTCAGTTATTAGCCAGTTGCAAAGCACGGAATCCTTCTTGGCCATCATTTCCAGTTTGAAGTTATGTTATTACTATATTTATTTCGTACACTGTATTTATGCTATCTCAGTGGAAGCTGCTTGCAAACAGAATAAAACGTGTAGTATAATATTTTCAGTCATCTGAAAGTCAAATTCTTACCTGTCCAGGTCACCTCCCTCGATGGTGTGTCTAACATCGGCAGTATTATCAGGAAGTGGAACGGTTTGATGTCAGGCATGGGTGATGCTGACCACTTTGACATTCGCTTCCCCCTAGACCTGGAAGTGAAGATGAAAGCCATGATTTTTGGAGCTTGCTTCCTCATCGTAAGCCTTTTGCTCTTGACTAATCTTGAGAGAATTTCTTTCTGATGAGAATCAGCGCTATGTAGTAGAAAGGCAGTATGCTTTGACACCAGACCAACTTCTGTCTCTATCACTTACTAGTTACATGTTTTGTAAAGTGCTTAATACTTGGAAGACTCAGTCTCATCTATAAAGTGACGATAAAAATACTTGTATTTTTCAGGGTTATGAATATTAAGTATCGTATGAGGAAAGGGGCCAGGAGAGTGCACATTAGGCATCCAGTGGGTGTATTGTCATCATTGTATGGTGTTTATTATTCTCATTACTTGAAAATGCCTGTCCCGTGACATCTTTTTTTTTTTTAAGATTTTTATTGGGGAATTGGGGGAAGGGGAACAGACAAGTTGCTGTCTTTTTGTTCTTCAGTCTAGTTGTGGAGGACACCGCTTCACTGGCCCAAGCTGGCACCATCATTGTGCTCTTCCCGGGTGAGGCAGATCAGTTGCTGGCTTCTGGACGGCCGCTCACGGCGGCTTGAGGGCCGCTCACGCTGGCTGCTGGCTACACACGGTAGCCCATGGCAACCCACTGCCACAGGGGCTGCAGCCTATGCCGTCGCCAGTGACTCATGGCAGCACCAGGTTGAGCTGTTGTTCAGCATCTTAGCTGTGGAGGGCAGTGTCACTGGCCCTCATATGTGGGATCCGAACTGGAGCCCTCTGGCGTCCCAAGCCAACTCTTAACCAACGCGCCACTCGGCCAGCCCCCGTGACATCTTAATGAAAGAAAATAACTCTAAAGCTGAGGTCCTTCCCCTCTCCCCACCTTACTGCCTCTCTGTCTATGAACCATTACTTGGTGGTATTCCACCCTTAGATTTATTAGGTGCGATTCCCTTGCTATATTTCTGACTATATGTTAATAATATTCATAAGTAAAGAATAGAAATAAAATTGACAATATTTATCCTAAAAATCTAATTAACATATTGTAATTAGTATATTTAACATATTTAATATTGATTATCGAGTTTTTCCTCCTTTTCAGTAAAAATTTAATTAGTACCCCAAAAGGAAAGCTTATTGGCTACCAACAGTTTTTTTTTGTTTGTTTCTTGTGGGGTTTTTTAAAAGATTTTATTGGGGGAATTGGGGGAGGGAAAGAGCCAAGTTGTCCTTCATTCTTAGTTGTGGAGGATGCAGCTAGCTCAGCTCCAAGCCCAGTTGCCATCTGGCTACCAACAGTTTTAAGTTTGTAGTTGCTGCTCTTGATATTAGGTCCACTTTATAAAGATTTATTCGATTGATTTATTCTTTTTTTTTTTTTCCAGTTCTTCTCAAACTTTATTGCATGTACAAATCCTCTGGGGATCTTGTTAAAGTTCAGATTGATTCAGTTTACATCCTGGCGGTGGGGGGACTGAGATTCTGTAAATTTTCAGAGGGTGCCAGAAAAATGTATGCACATTTTAAGAAAGGAAAAAACTGGATTAAAATTGTAATGCTCAATATATACCGATAACAAAAGATGAATGCAAGTCACGTTTGACTTCTGCAATTGCAAGAGGTGCTCAAAGTGGTTACCATCAGTGTCCAGACACTTTTGATTACTACGAACTACTGCTTGAGCAACATTGACCAAAGTGTCCACTTGTATACATTTTTTGGGACCCCCCCAGAATTTATTCTTAACTGGAATGGGAGGATTGCCAGATAAATTATAAAGGATAATATTTTATGCTGTGTGTGTGTGTGTGTGTGTATACACACACATATATATATATATATATATATATATATATATATATATATATATATATAATTCTTTTTCCAATTTCAGGACTTCATGTATTTTGAAAGATCTCCACCACAGCGTTCATCAAGATAAATGGACACAGCAAATCAGGAAGTATGGTTAAAAATTTTTTTAGAAAAGTCGGATTGGGCTTACAGCCCACCCTCAATTATTTGCAAATACATTTATCTGCTTTTACAGATTATTTGTATTGGGTGTTAGCTTTGACAGCTAGACTGAGAGAGTAAGAACACAATCTAGTGTGTTTCAATTGAGTATCTGTCTACTTATTTACTACTAGACTAGGAAAAAGCTAGGACTTTCAGTCATCCTGAAAAAGCTATGACTCGTTAACCAAATAAGTATAGATACAATGAGTTTGAAAACACTTTAACATGAGATAGGGGAAAATGAATCCCAGAGCTCTCATATTAACAGATAATGTCCATCAACATATTCTGTTATCGAAGACAAATTTGATTCGTGGTAAAAAGAATGATACTCTTCATTTTTAAAAACAAAGGAAGGCAGACCAAAATATTATGTTTTATTGTACAAGAAAATTTCACTTGTGTACATGTATCAAAGCCTCATTTTATAAAATTTATAAAAGTTTGAACAATGTGATTGTATTATAAAATAAAACTTTTTATCATAAAGTTTATGTTTTCCATGCCTGTTACCTCATTCGCTAGCATGGACAGTCAGGAGCTGCCTTATGTATGAGGACAAGGTCAGACTGTCAGGAAGAGGTGACCAGGGCCACAGTCAGTCTAGATCTCTTAGCAACTTAGAGACATCGATGCCCTTATAAACAGCTTGCATTTAATACATTTAACCTCGCTTGGTCACAGATGCCTTATGTATAAAATATATTTGGCCAAATCTCTCAGATTGCCTGTTGAAGCTTTGTATCTTGTTTGATGTGATACCGAAAAGATAACTTTTTTCTTTCAAGAAGATCCCCGATAATCACTGTTGTATTTTAATTGCAAGAGTTGCAGTTTTGTTTTTAAATTTTAAGATGTGACAGTCTGTGTGGAGATTTTTAAAAGCCCAAACTATAAATTCTGACACTGTTTAATATTGTTTTGCTGCTTTTAAAATAATAGATAAACCTGTATCTATGCAAAGAAATAACAAAACAGTAAACATGCTACTTACCTGGGATCTATAGTTTATCAGTACAGATTGCATAAGATCAATGTAGTTTAAGTATAAATTGTATTCGTTTGTATTGGATCAATGTAGTTAAAGTATAAATTGCACTTGTTTGTATTGGAGCAATGTAGTTAAAGTGTAAATTGTACTTGTTTGTATTAACTATCAAACTATCAAATTGAATATCAGCATAGTGTGTTAGTGAATGCACTCTGATAAATCTACACTTGCTTTTGTGCACTTTAGCTTCCTATCTGAACGAGGACCATGTTCTTTCAACACATTACGAAGAATGGAATGTATTCTTCTTCTGCTCCCTGTTAAATAAACATGGAGTGCTAAATAAACATGAGTGTTCTTAGATTTGGTTACTCTGAGATGAGGGCCCTTATCCACAGTTCTTATTGAAATGAAAGAAAGGTGCCTCACTTTTTAATTATATTCATCTTTTCATGGCAAAAGTTATTTTACTCAGCTTCTTGTAATGTTCATTTTTATGTGTGACTACTAGTTTATTAAGAAAAATGTAAAAGCTGCTCCTTTCTAAAATACTAATTACCTTATATTTCAAAATGCAGTTGCAGTTTTAGACATATTATTTCTTATAATAATGTCTGATGTTTTCTATAGAAAATGAGACAAATAGTATTCAGAAAATTTATCTATATAAACTTTTCATTTTTACTTGCCTCCATCTCATTCCAAGACCTACTGCATAATACTAAGGAAAAATTATTTTTAGCATACAACATTTTACATTTCTGTTTAAAGTTTTTGTGATATTAACATGGCTCTTACAGCTATAATTTCTTTTTCTTTAATAATACCATGTGCCATATTTTTATACTACAGTTCATATTATAAGTTCTATATTTCTTAATGGTATTTCATAATGTAAAATTGATGAGACTGATTTAAAAAATAAGCTATTCTCTGAAATTTGTATCATGCTTCATCATATTGTTTTTGGCTTTTAAATAAATATAATATGGCTTACAATAAAATAATACAGTTTTATTTTTTGACTTGTGACTGAGTCTTACTCGGCCAAAGTTTCCACCCCAAAGTTTATGAATTACCCCAGAGTGATGGTATTTGGAGGTGGGGCCTTTGGGAGGTGATAGGTCGTGTGGGTGGAGCCCTCATGAATGGGATTAGTGCTCTTATAATCTGCCAGCACCTCGACCTTGGACTTCCCCTCCTCCAGAACTGTGAGAAATAAAAGTTTTTTGGTTAAGCCACCCAGTCTACGGTATTTTTGTTATAGCAGCTCAAAAGGTTCAGGACAGAAATTGGTACTGAGAAGGGAGGTGCTACTGTAACAAATACCTATTCAAAAAAATGTGGAAGCAGCTTTGGAGCTAGGTAACAGGTAGAGACTGGAAGAGTTTTGAGGTACATTCTAGAAAAAGCCTAGATTGCCATGAACAGAATTTTAAAGATGATTCTGGTGAGAGCTCGGAAAGAAAAGAGGAGAGTTGTAGCTAAATCTTTTTAGAGACTATTTCAGTAATCCTGAGCAGAATGTTGATAGAAATATGGGCTGCGAAGGCCATTCTGATGAGGTCTCAGCTGGAAATGAGGAACGGGCTATTGGAAACTGGAGGAGAGGCATCCTTATGATAAAGTAGCAAAGAGCTTGGCTGAATTGTGTGTGTGTTCTAGTATTTTGTGGAAGGTAGAACCTGCAAGCAATGAAACTGGATATTTCACTGAAGCGAGTTCTAAGTGAAGTGTCTAAAGTGCCACTTGGCTCCCCCCCTAGCTGCTGATAGCAAAATGCGAGCAGAGAGAAATGACTTACAGATGAAATTAAGCAAGAAAGGAAGCAGAATTTAAAGATTTGGAAAATTTTCATCCTATCCATGTTGGAGACAAATGACAACACTCAGGCTGTGGCCAAGGAGATTGACATGGAACAGCATCCCCAGGGAAGACAAGTGCTGCTCTCCGGGACAGTGAAAGAATGACCCCAAAAGGCTGACCGATTAGCTCAGGTGGTTAGAGCACGGTGCTGATAATACCAAGGTTGCCAGTTCGACCCCCACATGGGCCACTGTGAGCTGCGCCCTCCCTAAAAGAGTCAACTATGCCATTGTAGCATGAAAGCAATGTGTAACCAATGACCATGGCTGTGCCCAAATAAAATTAGAAAATAAAATAAAACACATTTTTAAAAAAAGAAAAAAAAAAAAAAAGAATGACCCCAAAGGTCATTCAATGATAGGCAGAGCTTCCACTCACATTCCAGGCCCCTTGATCAAGGGTCCGGTGGGCGGAGCAGTTCAGAGGAGCCACCAGCCCCTGTGGGAACCTCCTCACACACCTGGTGCTCCCTCACATGGGGGTTCTGCTCTGCACTCGGGCCATGCTCTTCCGCCACCCCACATGTAGCTCTGGTGGGTCCTGGTATGGCAGGAGCTTCAGTGGCCACCCCTCCAGAGGTGGCAGGCTGCAAACTCTGGAGGTGTCCCTGTGACCCCATCTCCACTGGACTGCAGAATACACAGGCCAAGTGGATATGGCTGCCTCCACCTAGATTTCAAAGGACAGGGCTACCTCGGAGAGCCTCGGGCTCAGAACCCTAATCCTGGAGAGCAATTGGGCCCAGGCGTAGGGTCTGTGGAAACATGCTGCCCAGCCCTGTGGGTGATACGGTCACCCCAGTGGGTCTGGAAGGCAGAGCATTGAGTCAAAGGTTACTCTTGAGCTTTAAGGTTTAATGGTGTTTGTCCTGTTGGGTCTTGGACTTACCTGGGACCTATCATTCCTTTCTTCTTTCCTATTTCTCCCTTTTGGAATGAGAATGTGTATGCTATGCCTGTCACACCACTGTATTTTGGAAGCACCTAATTTGTTTGGTGTCACAGGTTCACAGCTGGAGAGCAGTTTACCTCAGGCTGAGTCGTAGCTTGAGTCTCACTCATATCTGATTTAGATGATATATATATGAGATTTTGGACTTAGACTTCTGAGTTGTTGCTAAAACAAGTTAAGACATTTTGGCTGTTAAGATGGTTTCAGTGTATCTTGCATGTAAGAAGGACATGAATTTTGTCCTGACCAGGGATGGGAAGCTACAGACTGAATGTTTGTGTCACCCGAAATTCAAATATTGAAATCTAATCCCCAATTGATGGTATTTGACAGTGAGGCCTTTAGGAGGTGGTTAGAGAGTAGAGCCCTTATGAAGGGAACCCAGCAAACTCCCTTTCCCCTTTGGCCATTTGATGACACAGATGACAGCCCTCTGTGAACCAGGAAGTGGGTCTCACCAGACACAAAATCTGCCAGGGCCGTGATCTTAAACTTCTACAACTCTGAGAAGTAAATTTCTGTTGTTTATAAGCCACCCAGTGTGGTATTTTTGTGATAGCAGCCCAAGTGCACTAAGACAGTCTTAGAATACTTCTTTCCAAAGGGACTTTGGAAGTAATTTCTTACTCATTATCAAGAACTTTCTTATAGAAGTTTAATAAAATAAATTTCTGTAGTGTTGCATAGTATTAACTAGCTTTCTGATACATATGTTATTTAAAACATTTAAATTTTAAGTATAATTTCAATGTCAGTATATCATGGAGGAAGGTTGCGAGAATTTGTAATGTTAGTGAAGGATGCATTGTAAAACAATTTTTTCATAATGGCCAAATTTCCCAGAAATTACACAAAAAGCTAGTTGCCAGACTAATTTACTAGCTGAATTTTTAACCAACTAGATATCAAGTTCAAGTATAGAATAGGCAGTGATTCCAGAAAATGGCACCCTACTTGTGCTGCGACAGCTGGCTACTTTTCAGGCCTTCTCGCCCCCCTATTCCCCTACAACAACACCCCCCTCCCCACCCCCGCCCAGTGTTCAAGGTTTAGTTTAATTTATATTGAAAGATGCAAGCTTGGAAAACCCATAGGTCTGGATTTAGTAAACTAATACCAAATTCAGCTTTTTGTCTAGTGATAGCTAATAATTAAAATGGACTTTCCCCATCACTTGGTTGGCCTACACAGAATGCATTTGCGATTTATCCCTAGGCCTCTTAAACTTGTAAATCCCAGAAAAGCGAAAAACAGAATGCTACATTCCAGGTGTAGTCACGGTGAGGCAGCACAGTATGTAAGGAACATGACAACACTTAGCATGGTTAACAACAGCCCATGGCAACATTCGCTCAGTATCTGCCTAATGACTAACAATACAGTGTGGATATATTACTCAAATATTTGTTATAATTGCAGTCAAGAATCTTACCATCCTCTCCATTACTTGACTCTATCAATGATTACTGTATGAAGCATCCACTAACTTCAGGCACTTGAGCTATTTCTGAAGGAGGAGGGAAATGCAAAGGTGAAAAATACATAATCACTCCTCTCAGGCTCTCAGACTAATGGACGAGACAGACATTTAAACAAACAAAACACATTGTGGTCTTCAAAGACCACTTCAAAGTGGACATGTGAGTTCAGTGAGATGTTGGCCCATTCAGGAGAAGCCATGTCACTAGGAGCCTCTCACATGCTGTGTAGTTCTGCCCTATTGATCAGCAGTTTAGGCTAGCTGGTTGTATCATATGCCCAGGTGAACTTCCTGGCACTGCTGGAGGGAATACGATGCATTTTACAGGGCGGCTGGGTGGCTCAGTTGGTTAGAGCATGTGCTCTTAACAACAAGGTTGCCGATTTGATTCCCACATGAGATGGTGGGCTGTGCCCTCCACAACTAGGTTGAAAATGGCGACTGGACTTGGAGCTGAGCTGTGCCCTCCACAACTAGATTGTAAGGACAATGACTTCACTTGGAGCTAATGGGTCCTAGAAAAAAACATACTGTTACCCAATTTTAAAAAAAATTTTTTTTAAGATGCATTTTACAGTTTTGTCTGCAAGCTGAATGCATTATACATACAATTGGAAGGTCAATTTAGAACATTTTCATCAAGCAAAATAGGGATTGGTTGTTTATTACAGTAAACACAGTCCAGGAGAGTGGTGGTACATCTATGGAGCTCAATGAACATGTGTTGAATGAATGAAAAATGTCCTACTATGTGCCTGAAACTGTGCTAGGTGTTCAAGGAGACAAATGAGAAGGATTTTCTTCTTTTTGCTGTGATTGTAATGAAGGAAAACTGAAGGGTTGAATAAAAGGTGAGAAATATGAAAGCTCTAGGGAGAGGGAGAGCAGCACAGGTGGAATTTAGCTAATGCGTCTCAGCTTGAGAACTGGTCAGACAGCCTTCTTTCCTTCTCCCAATTTCCCAGTTGTCCAGAGTGATTGGCGGTGAGTGTTCCCTGGTATGTGTGGTGGACGGGGGTGGGTGCTAAGGCTGGGATGATGGTAGTACCTCTGCATGTAATATCTAAATAAAAAGTAAACAGCAAATTCTAAAAACATTCTGTAATTAGAGCGGGGTTCATGGTTACCCATTACATCTTCCTGCAGGTCTTTGTTTGGCTGCTTTTCAACACAGGACCAGTCTTGTGAAATCCTGTAATTATGAGATATGTAGTTGCTAGATTTACCTCAAGATTTAATTCCAGGCCAGATGGCTCTGTATTTGAGCATGTATGAAGAAAAACAAACCTAATCATGAGATAGATGGTATAACGTGACCAACTACCTAAAATAACAACAACGGTGACAATGATGATACCAGCTAATTCTTTAGTGCTTCTTGCAAGGTAGACACCATTCTAGTTCTAAGAAATTTCTGTGTATTAATTCATCTAATTCTCATAACTTTATAATAGAGGTTACTGTAATTATTCCCATTTTGCAGATGCAAAAATAGAGATTTAGATATCTTACAGAAAGTAACCTTGCTAGCTTATGTCCACAAAACCATTATTTGAAGGTGTCTCTGCAGGCTACACCTTAAACCACTATGCCCTGTGCTTACTTCATCTCTGTGTGATATGTATTTTGTGTGTTAACACAGAAATATAGGAAAATAAAAATAAAGTAAAATGGTGGTGTGTTACCTCATGTATTCTAAGTTTAGAATTTTGGCTGGGAAGACCATGAGGCTCCAAAACTGTCTGTGTGAGGGTGTGTTCTCTCTGAGACGCTTGCTTGCTTCTGTGGGTATCCCAGCGGTGTTTTCAACTGAAGACCACTTTTATGTTATTCTGTCAGTTTGCTGCTTCCCAAATCATGTATGCATTTTACGTATGAACTCCTACACAACTGAGGACAAATCTGGGTTATGAATTCTCAGTGAACAATTTTTTCTCTACCTATAGCATAATCTAAAACAGTCTAGGTTTTTCTTGATCTGTTTGCCAGTAGGTGAATTTTTTTCTAGTTCACCTTTTACCCTGGAGTATGTCTCTTTAACAGTTCCCATTTTATTGGGAGTCTGTTTCAATAGTCTATCTTGCTTATGCCCAAAGTCTCATCTCCTGCCTCATCTTATAGGTGAAATCTAAGCCCCTGGCCAATGAAGATCGGTATCTCCTATCTGGGACACAAAAAAAGTGTTAGCCTGTGCTTAATAGTCCAGTATTTCAGATTGTTCCCAGTTTTGACCCCTACTGAGTTCTCTTACTCCCTTAGAAGCTACACTTTTGCATTTAGATAAGTTTTGGTTATATTTTAGCCAGACTTTCTAGGTATTCTATAGCAAGAGGTTTTTAAGGTGATCTAGTTTGCAACATTGCCAACAATGGAAATAATCTATGTTTTTAAAAAACAGAACACAATTTTATTATGAAATATTCAGGGGATAAAGCTTTAACATAAATATAAAATTTAAAACAACTTTGAACTTCTAAATTACTACTATTTGGTAGACCTAATTTACAACTGAATTTTTATTTTATATTTGAGGTGACATGTTATCTTTCTATCATCATATTATTGAATTCGATTCACTTAAAATATGTTTAATTTAGTTTCTAATACTGTTGTTAGGTGAAAAGAGACTCAAAATGGTGCCAGCTCTTCTGCAATCGAGGCTCAGATAAATTTATTTTGGGAAATTACAGAAACAATGATTTCCTTGAACAATTTGGAAAACATGTTTGCTCAAATTGTCTTAGCTAACTGTCATTACATATAATTTATTTGTTTTAATTTTTTTCATTTGACAGGTTAAAAACAGACAGCTAGAATTTACACATTTTTTAAAACTCTTGATCATACAGCAATAGGCACATAGAGGACTGCAGAGAGAAGCAATTAGAATGACAAAATATTTCCCTAGCTTTGCAGCCCTTCCCCTCCATGTCAGCCTACTATAGGGGGCAGCACCAGCTCATGTATTTTTTTAGTAAACTATGTTCATTTTTATTCAGCTAAGAATATAATGGTACTAATCTATACGTTTTAGTGAATAGAATCAAAGGATGTTAGAGTTAGAAAGGGCATTGAAGACTATCTGCTCTACATTCTAATATACAAATGAAAAAATTAAGACATACCCAGGTCCTGTGCTCAAAGTCACACTGGGAATTAGTTGTAGAACCAGAAGTGTACCAATCTTCATTATTTAATTCCAATGTCCTTCCACCACACCCAAAACTTAGCAGTAATTTAAAACATATTAATGCAATATTTTTCATTAACATTGAAATTTTAAGCAATAAAAAAACTAAAAACTTAGCTTCAATTTTTTTTTTTTTTTAGTGCTCTAAATTTTTATTATGCACATGCTTGTAAAGTTCATCTTGGTAAAGCAGGCTAATGTCACAGGCATCTAACTATAAAAAAAATAAATTACTATGTGACAAAACAGCAACAGCATTTAAGATATTTGTGTCGTGGGTGGATAACATAGAAATTTATTTTATTTATTCATCCTTTGATGCAATGGTATTTTCTGTAGTCACCACTCACATCTGAGTTCAGTTTATTTATTTATTTATTTATTTATTTATTTATTTATTTTATTTTTTAAAAGATTTTTATTGGGGAATTGGGGGAAGGGGAACAGACAAGTTGCTGTCCTTTTGTTCTTCAGTCTAGTTGTGGAGGGCGTTGCTTCACTGGCCCAAGTTGGCACCATCATTGCGCTCTTCCTGGGCGAGGCAGATCAGTCGCTGGCTTCTGGACGACCGCTCCCGACAGCTGCTGGCTGCTCATGCTGGCTGCTGCCTACGCACGGTAGCCCATGGCAACCCACTGCAGCAGGGGCTGCAGCCTACGCTGTCGCTGCTGACTCACGGCAGCACAGCTCCAGGTTGAGCTGTTGTTCAGCATCTTAGCTGTAGAGGGCAGTGTCACTGGCCCTCATATGTGGGATCTGAACAGGGCCCTCTGGCATCTCAAGCCAGCTCTTTAAAACGCACCACTTGGCCGGCCCAGAGTTCAATTTATTTATTAAAATATGTATTTTTAGGTTTTGTTTTGTGTTTTTTGTTTGTTTGTTTGTGAAACGCTGTTCACTGTTTGACAGATATTCCTGCTCTGATGAAAATGTAATTGTTGATTCAAAAGGAGCATCAGCTACTGTTGGTGGGACTGCAGACTGGTGCAGCCACTATGGAAATCAGTATGGAGGTATTTCAAAAAACTGGAAATGGAACTACCTTATGACCCAGCAATTCCACTCTTGGGTATCTATCCAGGAAAACCCAAGACATTTATTCGAAAAAATATATGCACCCCTATGTTCATTGCAGTGCTATTCACAATAGCCAAGACTTGGAAACAACTGAAATGCCCATCAGTAGAGGACTGGATTAAGAAACTATGGTACATTTACACAATGGAGTATTACTCACCTATAAAGAAGGAAATAGTACCATTTGCAACGATATGGATGGAAGTAGAGAACATTATGCTAAGTGAAATAAGTCAGTCTGAGAAAGACAAATACCATATGATCTCACTTATATGTAGAATCTAAAAAACCGAATAAATGAAAAATGTAAACAGAAATAATCTCAGAGACACTAGTTGGGATGGGGTGGGGATGAAGGAGAAGGGGAAGGGACAAGACAATATAAATTGGTAACTACAATATGGCCTCAAGGATAGAAAAAAGTCTGGGGAATATAATCAATAATGTTGTAAATATTTTTTAGGGGCCAGTTGGATTCATGTCTTGTTAGGGAGACCACTTCATAGATGGTGTAGAGGCCTGACCACAGCACTGTATTTCTGAAGCTGATGTGGAATAATATTGTATGTCAACTATAATTATATATACATATAGTCACGGGATGTGGAGTACAGTGTGGGAATGGAGTCAATGGAATTGTAATAGATAAGTATGATATTGGGGGTGAGAGGGCAGTGGGTGGGGGGAGGAGCATGTTACTTTGTGAGGGGTGAAAAGGATAACTATTGCATTGTTCTGTACACCTAAAACTAATAACTAAAAAAAGAAAAAAATTGGGGGCCTAAAAATTGGGTGCATCTTATACAGTGGTAGTAGATTTTTTTTACTTGCCTTTCCCAGAAGTGATAAGGAGTTGTATGAATTTTATGATGAATAAAACTTGAGTTCAAAAAATAATAATAATAATAATTAAAAAAAAAAAGCATCAGCTGAACAAGGATAATCACTCCTTGCCCTGAGAAGAAAGGAAAATACAGCTAATGGACAATTGAATACAACCCTTGTGATGATGTGACCTAGTCTGCCTGTTGGCCCGACAGATGACAGAAACAGATGACATGGCTGTGGATATGGGAATATTTTATTCAGGGATCTGGCGGATGGAATGAGAGTCAGCTATGAGGATTATTCCGGGCAATGCTAAGTGTCTATTTTATCCCCTTGAGCTGCTTTGCTATTATTTTTTTTTCCACTAGTTAGGGATTTTTAGTTTTCTCTCTGTTTCCTGGGTTTGTATATCTCTCCCCATTCTATATGGCTTTGTGCATTTGTGTTTAGGATCCATTCGTGCCACTCCTTGAGGTATGGCCACAGGACCTGCCTGGACATGAAAATCAGAGATAGCTTGTGCCGTTTTCTTCACTGATAGCTCTGTAACTTTCAAAGTGAAACTATACAAGTGTATTTATAGTGCTGGTGTTTTGATAGATTACTTTGTGAATGAAATCAATTGCAAGATAGACAAAGAAGGGAAACACAAATGATTTTATCCTAAGAAGGCTGTTTTAAGGCTATGCAGTGTCCTCTGCCAAAATAGGTTTACAGAATGGTGTAGAACCTGAGTTGGTACTCCCTGTCTCAGGCAGAGCTGGAAGACCAGATGGGTTCCTGGTGGAGGCTAGCCCTACAAAACTTACCTCAGGGAGGAGCTAGGTCCTCGTATGTGTGCTCGCAGCAGTCAGGCTGCCTCTCCAGAGGGACAAAAAGAAGAGACTGAGCTACTTACGCCCAGTTCCTTCTTTCAAACTCACTAGCTGGGTAAGTCATCCCTGCGCCCAGAGGCAGGCAAAAGAGGGGACAGCCAGGAGTGTTCTCCAGTGCCACTGCCGTAGGGTGGGAATGTCAGGAGTGGGGAATGGTTGTTGTAGAGACGTGTTCTGTCAAGTCTCTTCTCACCTCCTTCCCTATTATTAGTACAGCTTCTGATTTCACTGACTCACAGTGAAGCCTGAAATAAACACATTTCCTTGGCATGGTGGTGTGGTCAAGTTCTGGTCCATTAAAAGTGAAGTGTGGCAACTTCTTTTTAAGGTAAGTGACACATATCATTTGTTTCTCATTGATTCTCTCCTCCTCCCTGTATACGTGGCATAAGAAAAACAGAGGCTTTAGTAGTGGATACCTCTGGAAAGTAGAATTGGGGAAAGAAGCTCATCTTTATTTTAGATCCTCCTTTATTGCTTGAATTCATTATATTAAATATTAATTTAAAAATTAAAAAAATGAAAGATAAACTTTTTAAAGTTTCTTATAGCTGGCCCTTCCTAGGATGCCATATTTTTGGCTATAATTGAGGGCTTCCTAAACTTGAAGAAACATTGCAATTTACTGAGAGCTTTTCCTTAAATGCAGTATAGGAGCCTGCCCGCAGTTACTGAATTATTTGCTCTGGGGTGGAATCTGGGCATGAGTACTTTTAAAAAGTCCCTTGGTCTTTGTTTTGTGCAGAGCGGGTTGAGAAAGAACCATTGGACACCAGCCGTTGACTTCTCAGTGTTGCACGTGGGTCACCTGGAATGCTTTGTGATCCCACCGTCTGGCAGGAACCCAGAGCGAGAGCACCAGCGTCCAGAGTTCTTCTGGTGATTCTCATGTGTAGCCAATTTTGGGGACAGAGTAACTGCCTGAAAGCCTCCTGAAAACATTCCTCTAATTTGCATGTAAGCTGATAAAATAAACATTCTTGCTTTTATCTGCCAAATGAATAGGGTGGGTAAACGAAATACAGGATGCCTGGTTAAATTGAAATCACAGATACCAATCTATAGTAAAATATTGTCCCATGAACTATTGGAGACTCACACACACACAAATTATTCATTACTTATATGAAAATCACATTTAACTGGGCTTCCTATCTTTTTATTTGTGAAACCTGTCAACCCCTACAAACTGAACACAAATGGTACTCCAAAAATCACGGAAGAGTAATATAGATCTTCTCTGTATGTAAAGGAGCTTTAGGAGACTGGATACTTGAGGAGGAAGCAAAGAGCGATCACCTTGCAAACGCCCAGTAAAGTGTCTTCAAGTCTTCTGTTATTGGTCTCTGTTTCCCAGGAGTCCTAGGTTTTATAACAACCAGCTTAGTGTGTTTGCTGGGTTCCCCCACCCAACTCAATGATTAAGCAAATTACTGCCAACCTCTTTTCCTATCATTGCTCCCACCCACCCTGAATCCTTCCTCCCTTTAACCAACTAAAGCAGCCTACTCTGAGAATTTACATGGCACAGAAAGGGTCTAAACCAAGAAAAGCACAGATGAGTTGGCCAGTTGGGGGGGGCGGGGGGAACTATCAGGACCCTTTCTTCAGGTATCCTGCTTTCATTCATGTGGAAATGTAAGCTTCAGGATATAGCCTGTCAGTGTTAAACTAAGAATTTGGGTAAATTTATCTCCTAACTGCTGTTTTCAGTGTCAGTTTCAAACATAAACCACAGAGTCTCCATCAGTAAATGGTCTATTGAAGAGAAAGAAAGACTATTATCTCTGCCAACTTGTAAGCTCCTGTTGTCTAGAATTCCCCATTAACCACACAAATAACCACTATAGATAACAAATTTAAGATAAGAGAACAATGGAGGCTTAAACTGTAACAATGTCCAATTCTCATTTGGGAGTGGGGAGTGAGTCTAGTGAGCACTGGTTGTTTTCTGCAGAGACCTGTGACCTATCAGAAAGAGCGCACTATACGTGGTGAGGCCCAGACTTCACTTGGAGTCCTGTAGTCGGGCTTGCTAATTATGTGACTTTAGACTAGAAACAAAGTTCTTATGCATCTCCACTTGTGCTTCTGTAAAATTAAAGCCATAATACCTGACTTGTTTTGATTACAGTGTTATTGTGAAAATTCCGATGAGATAATGGACGTGGATAAGATTGGACTATTCCAAACATTACCATTTTTACTGGGTAAAGGACAAGAAGACAGGGTAGGTACAGGGCTTGTCTTGGTATACACAAGGAAACTTAGCCAGGCTTTCATATTGTTCCCTCTGAACTATCAAAGCAAACTGGCCCACAAATGCCCTTAAGGGATAAAAGAAATGCCAGTTAGCAGACCAACTGTAACCACTGATTTTTTTAAGGAAAAAGAAAGGATGAAAAGTGCCAAGCCACAAGATTCGCTCCTGGCATGCTAACTGGAGATCGTGGATTTGTTGAGTACTAGCATTCCCTTCCCTTGGTTAGATTAAGTCATCTGAACCAAGGATGAGTCACAGACAGACTTACGGGAAGATCCCCCAAGTCTGAGTGGTAAAGTAAATGAAATGGAAAAAATGTGTATGGATGCCATGTTTCCATATGTCTAAGTAGATTGGCTAGCTTAAGCTCCCCTATGAACCAGAACCCATTTACATTTTCAGAGTTCAAGGACACTGCACTACATCAGGCTCCTCTAAGTCTGAATATGTGATCATTTGGACAAGCTGTAGAATCAAGTATACTATTATAGTTTCCATGAAGAATTAAAAAAAAAAATCAAACAGCATATTTACCCCTCCCAAAAGGAAAAGAAAAACAATTTAAATGCTATTGGGTTATGATAATATTTCTTGGCTCTTTGTTTTCTTGAGGAAAAGAAATCAGTCAAGAGAGTGTTTTGTGCAGGTACAGGGCGGTAAGAAGTTTATTAGTCAAGGCAGATGTGGAGCAGACCAATCCCAAGAGGGGGAAAGGCCTCTCCTTATATTGCATAAAGGCTTTTATTTATATGGGTAGAATGGCCCACCCCACCCCACCCCCTCCCTTCTCATTATCTCTCTCTTCCTGTTGAGGTTCCCAGTCCTCCATTTTGGTTCTCAAAGTAGTTTCTGTCAATTTTCTTTTTGTGATTTGTTTGAGAAACTCACTCAAGTGGTCTTGATAAGCAGAATGTCTTCCTCCCTTCTCTGGCTTTTAATAACACATCCCTTTGACTTAGGGGCATGTGTGAGCCTGGAATCTTGTTGGGCTAGTGAAGCACTGGTGCCCTAAGTGAGGGCAGCTGCCAGGGGTTTTGACCCAAGTAGGAGCTGCAGCAAGGGACTTTCTAACCGGGGCTAGGTCTCTGCTTCTCCTGCTCATTTCTATCTATCTACCTACCCTATCATGAGTAACCATATTATTGACCTACATATAATTCATTTGTTCAATTCTTAGATACACCAAATTCTTTACAAACTTAACTGCCCTCATGCCCGTTGTTAAGGAGATATGTACTCTTCATAAGGACTTAGTTCAGGTGAGGCCAGTGTGGGGAAACTTCTAAGGTCTCTGTTGCTAACACAGTTCTGGAAATCATCTTTTAAAATGACACCCCAAACTATAAAACTCAGTTTGTACCACAAACTCTATGACTCAGTTGAATCACTCACCGCATTCACCCACTTATCTCAAGTCCACTCTCAAATATTTACCAAATTAAGTAATTCCCTTCTGAAAATGCTCCAGTAATTTTCCATTTGCCCATATGTCAAAAGGCAACTCTGTTCCTTCTCAGGGTCCTAGATCATTCTTCCCAGATCTTAAGGTAGCTTACTCCTTTTCTTCACAGTTCACCTCCACAGAGAGCCATGCCCTGACCCCTCTATCAAAAATATTTCCCATCCCCCAAACTACTTTCTTCTTCTAATCAGTACTTAGCACCATCAGAAATATTATTTTGTTTGCTTCTTTCTAATTATTTATGAGAAGGCAGAGATTTTGTGTGTCATATTTACCACTATATCTTACTGCCTCTAACAATGAAGAAGTAAATGTTGAATAAATGCCATTGAATATAGGCAAAATAATGTGATGGCCTCTGTAAAGGTAATTTCATAAGAGGAATTTAAATCATTAGAGTAATTGTGTCCCTAGGAGACACCAGTTATTTGAAAATATCCATTGGCCATAAAATTTTTTGTTGCTGTTTAAAAATACAGCACATGATATATATTCAGCTTGACTCCCTGCTGTTAGGTTCTTCTAAGCCTTTTGGCAAAAGATATTTACTTGTGGCTCTAGCTTCTTTCCTGGGATACAAATATGAGACTAATTTCTCCTCACCAATTTGTTCCGCAGAGAGCCTTTCTGCCTCTGCCCTACCAGGTGGCCGAGGTTAGAAATCCAATAGATGTATCACGAGAAGGCACGGGAGCCTGGGAGATGTTAGACTCCTTTTCATCTCAGAACAGCTGGTTGTTGGTAGATGAAGCTATTAGTTGAAGAGATAGGAGTGTACTGAATTGTTTTGGACATTTGTTATAAGGAGAGAACAAGGAGACCTCAGCTGGTCAAATGGTCAACCTGGGCCATGTCAGTACTTACTGGAAGGGAGGCGTGATATTGGTTGGTAGCAACTTTCTCCTGTCTTTCTTGCTGTTGTACCAAAAATGGCACATGAATTGAAGATGGCAGAGTCTGGTCTCTAGGGCAGAAGCTTTCTTGTACTGGAGGCTTCCTGACATTTATGGACAGGAGTCATTAGTGACTGTTCCTCTCTAGGTTGAAAAGGGTTTTTTAAATTGATAACAAGGAAACTCAGTGGTAGGCTGTTTGCACTGGGCACAGACACTGAGGCACAAACTCTATAAGACTAACTGACTAAGAGGCAGTGAATAAAGCTGAAATATAAATCTGTTCAGAGCAGGATGCCAATGAGAAGCAAACCACTTCCTGGGTTGAACGACAGGACACAAAACTGATTATATGGTATGATTGTAATATCGCTTCACGTGCATCCCATACAAACATGTCTGTGTACACAGACGAACTCACAAAGGAGCATTCTCACAAACATGCAGACACAACACTGAGAGAAACCTATTAAATTGAAAAGTATGGGTATTTCTGGGTGGTTAGAGTATGAAGCATTGTATTTTCTTTATTTCTACTTTATCTTCCTTGCCAAACTTTCTCATTCAATCTCTTCATACCCAGCTCAGCTAGCAAAGAACCACGTCTACTTCTGATTCACTGGGCTCTGAAGGCTTTGTAGCTTCTGTTTATTCTTCATCCCTGGGTCCAAGCTCACACAGTTAGACTGTTCTGCACCTTAAGCTCCAGGGAATAGTTTCCTTGTCTGAAACTCAGGTGGGTTTAAAACATGGTCACAGATTTCTTTGACGCTACTGAGTGGTGGGGTACACGTCCTCCCCGCCCCTGAATACAGGCAGTCTTGTGACAGAGTCAGTATGGGGAGAGCGGTACTGTGTGACACATGAAGCTGGGTGGTGAAAGGCAATGCAGTTTCTAACTTGTTTTCTGGAATACTCAGTCTTGGGGCCCTAAGCCCCCATGTGACACCATGTGACGTCTGACCACCTTGAGGCTCTCATGTTGTGAGTTATCCTCAGCCTCATGGAACAACCGTGAGCTGAATTGTAAGAGTGAATGAGCCTTCAGATGAGTTCAGCTCTGTAGGGCTCCCCTAGCCTTTAAATCTTCCCCACTGAGGCCGTAGGCGTGGAGAAGCAGTCAGGCTGTACATGCCACACCCTGTATGCAGTCCTGCAGAATCTGTGAGCTTAACGAAATGGTTATTTTACATTACACTGCCAAATTTGGAGGTATATCAACAAAACAGAAAACTTGAACACAACTTGAATCAGGCTTCTGACAGAAAGCTGAAGTCAGCTATTTTTCTATGGCCCGGGAGCCAAACACAACCATC